AATTTTTTTTTTTGGGTAACGAACACTTTGTTACTATCTACTGAGTTCTCCCACAAAATTACATTATAGCACATGTGGCTGTAACCAAATCTATAATAAACGTTCATTAATGCAGAGATTAGTAGTGTGTTTTTAATTCCATATATAGATTCCGAATACAGATTAAATAATAGTGGTGATAAGACGCAACCTTGTCGCACTCATCGTCGGATTTGTAGATCTTAGGATGTTGTGTGTTCTATTTCAATTATTGCCGTTTCGTGCCAATATCGTTCTGAGATAATTTGCAAGTCTCTTTCGTCAATTCCAGTTGTTCTGAGAATTTCGATAATCATTTGATGGATAACGCAGTCAAATGCTTTTCGATAATCAATAAAACATGCATATACATCTACATTCATGTCTCTGCATCGTTGTGTTAACACATTTAAGGCAAAAAGAGCTTCTTGTGTTCCCAATCCATTTCGAAATCCGAATTGAGTGTAACTAATCTGAAAGTCACACGTCTTGTAAATTTGTGTATGAATGATTCTGAGAAAAGTTTTAAGGACATGAGACATCATGCTAAATATTCGATAGCCATCGCAGTGTGAGGCATTGGATTTTTTTGATAATGTTATAAATGTTAATTATAGCCAGTCTGATGGTATTTTACCTGTGTTATATATCTTATTGAATAGTGCTATTATTAAGTCAAGGCTTTTACTTTCTTGCCTGCAATTAATTAAGGTATTTCGACATTGATATTGTCTGAACCGGTGGCTTTTCAGTTCTTCTGAGCTTTACTGCATAAATAACTTCTTCTTTTGTTATTTTTGGACTTTTTTCATTTATTCGATCATCCGTGGATGGTGGAGAATATGAGAATATGAATGGATATAAATTGAGGTACACCAATCAGATGACTATTTTCCTGATTTTCAAACAGCGACACAGATGACATGTAATCCTTTGTTACCTAGTAACTGTAGTATTTCACCTGCTATTGAATAAATGCCTGGGGATTTATTTCTCTTTAGCGATTTAATTGCATCTTTGACTTCAGCAAGTAAGACAATAGGTTCTCTAGGGTATTCAGGGAACCACTGATTTTCTGCTGGCACCTCGTTATTTTTATAAAGCTCGCCACAGTATTTTCGCCATGTTTCCAATATTTCGTCAGTACAGTAGAACCCCGATTATCCTTGCTTCACGGGACCGGCCGGTGGCACGGATAATTGAAATGCACGGATAATCCGAACATTTTTTAATGTATATGTACATTGTACATACATGCATATATACCTATCATAAAAAGATAACAGAAAAATCAAACTCATAAGTTCAAACTAATTTTTATAGTACATAAAAACATACATAACAGAACAAAAAACAGATTTGTACCGAAATAAATTTTTATATTAAATAATAAAAATAAAAACTACATAAAGGTAATATTTTAGGTGGCTATGCTTTTGAAAAAATCAGTCACTTTGGCCTGTGTTAAGAGTTTTCGATTTTCTGACGTATTTTACGCAAATTTAAAATGTCGACAAAGTCTGAAGATCCTTGTTGCTCAAAATAGTTTATTACAACATTGACAGCTTCCTCAGCCTTTTGGTTAGTTACTCTGTTGATTAATAACGTTCCATCATCTTGACTCTCATTTTCGAATGAATCAAGTTGTGACCTACCGGGCTGATGGGAAACCAGTTCGACAATTTCGTTGTTTCTGAAGAGCTGATAGCCTGACTCATTTTTATCACACTCTGTCCGTCTCTCAACCTCGGTTTCACCAATTTCTTCAAACACATCGGCGTTGCGCACTAGTGCAGTTAGTTCAGCTATGGTAGTGTCTTTATCGTCATATTCCATGATACTTTCATCTTCCTCTAGCGTCATTATTTTGTAAAGGCTCTTTTGATAGTGATCTCTTTCACTCCATTCCATGCATTTACCACTGTAAACATTGCATCTTTTATGGTGAAAGATTTCCAAAACTTCATCGAAAGAACTTCATCCAACAAGTTCATCATAAATTCTTTTCGGTAGAGTTGTTTCATTGTCTCTAACACCTTGATCCATTGGTTGAGCAATGGATATAATACTATCTGGAAAAAAAAAGAACAAAGAAATTTCCCTCGTCAGATCTTAGGGTCGCCTCATTAGGATGAGTACCAGCATTATCCAGAAGAAGAACCGCCGTTTGTGGTAATTTTGCTTTCTTTAAATATAATTTTACTTCAGGAATGAACTTTTCATGGAACCAACCTTTGAAAATGTTACAAGTTATCCAGGCAGCCTTCTAGTTATAATAGTGAACTGGGAAATTCTGTCGTTTCATATTTTTAAAAGCGCAAGGATATTTTGACTTTCCAATCACAGTCAGCTTCAGTTTATGCCTGCTAAACGCATTGGCACAACACAACATGGTTATCCTGTCTTTACTTTTTTTATAGCCAGGTGCACTCATCTCATTACCTGCAAGTAAAGTTTTTCTAGGTATTGCTCGCCAGTATAATCCTGTTTTGTCAACGTTATAAATTTGAAAAAGTTGTAAATTATTTTCTGTAATTGTAGTCTCCAGTTCATAGCAAAATTCCACCATTGCTTCTCCGTCGGCACTGAGCTTTTCACCTTCGATGGTAAGCTCACGAATTCCGTGACGTTTTTTGAATCGTTGTAACCAACTACTGGATGCATTAAAAGGTTGTTTGACTTTCAAATTTTTGTGAAAAATCTCCGCTTGCTTAGCATACATTTGTCCCGAAATTGGTATGCCCTCAGATCTTTTCTGCAGAAACCACTTAGAAAGCGCTTCATCTAGTTGTTGAAAAGTCGATCCTTTCAACGATTTCCGTGCAGATATGTTTTTAAAAGAGTCCGATTGAGATATAAAATTTTGTAGTTTCTATTTGTTTCTATTAATATCGTGTATTGTTTGTTTACCAACTTCGTAGCTTGGTGATAATGATGTGAAACTTTCACCCTTTTCACTTCTGTTTAAAATCTCTAGTTTTTGTTAAATCGTTAAAACACTTCTCTTTCGTTTAACTGGTGGTTGACATTTTGAAAGTAAAAACACGTTATAAGAATAATCAGAGTAGCGACTGATTTCTAGATTCCAACTATCTAAATACTAAATCTCACACAATCGACGTAACACACAGCGGCATATTATAAGTACCGGTTTCCAGGGATTCCCCGATCACTGACGCTATGGATATTACAGTATTCTTATTTCCCACTTCGTAGTAATTTGCGGTGAAATAATTCTGATAAAACGCCAATTCAATGTTACTTCGCACGGATAATCCGCACCCCGGATAACCCGCATACGGATAATCGAGGTTCTACTGCATTGGTCTTTGGATTACCTTCCTTATCTATTACAGACCACGTTTAAGATTAAATTCTCTGGTAAGGAGTTTGGTCTTCTGAAATAAATCCCTCGGTTCATTTCGATAGCCATGTTCTTCTATCCCTGAAAATTTGAGAGATGTAAAGCTTTGGCTTTGCGGCACTCTTTTCTGATGTCTTTCGATAACGCTCTGTATTCATCATTTGTTCCGTATCTAGTTTTATGTTTTTTTCTACGTTGAATCACAGTCCACGTATTATCGGATATCCACGGCTTACGGCTCGTGGAATCCGCTGCCTCAGTCTTTTGCAGCCTCGCTAACTTTATCTTTGAGATAGATCCAAGTGCTCTCAGAATCACTATCTACTTGGTCTAAAGAAAGAGCTTCTTCTAGGTTTTGTTGAGAGTAATTGATTTTTGACGGATTAAGAGGCATGGCTTTTCTTATGGGGTCTTCTTTTGGAGACTTTAAAACGAAGTCGAACGTGCAATACCAGGAGTTGATGACCTAACCTAACCTATCAGATCATCATAAAAAAACGTCTATAAAGTATTTGGAACTGGAACTAGCCACATAATGAGGTCAGATGACCCTTAAATTACATAATTTGAGTAACGAACAATATAATTTTTAAGACACTAGATCGATGATAAAGGATTACATACTGTCTTAAAAATTATAATGTTCGTTACTCAAATTATGTAATTTAATGGTCATCTGACCTCATTATGTGGCTAGTACCAACTACTTTATAGTCGTTTTTCACTGATGATGATCTGATAAGATCGAAAATGGTCTGAAAATTTATAAATCCATTTTGGATCATTTTTAAAAATTTTTATACTATTTTACAAAAAGAAGTTTTTTTAGTTCATTGGAAGTTTTTTTAGACGAAGGTATACAGCCAACCACAGGGAATTTCCCTTTTAAATTTTAAAGTATTATTCCTCCTCATTCTCTTTCTTATATTTTAATTTTGAACTTTCTTGTAATATACATCGAGAAATACCAGAAGCCTATGAAAAGTACAAAGACTTTATAATGACGTACACTAGTAGGAAAGACGAAAACAGAATAGTGGGAAAAGTTCTTCATGGAAATAGAGTATTAGTTTTAAGTATTGCATAAAGATATATGAGGAGATTCAAAAGAGGGAATAATGAGGTGCCGAAACTGTTTTCTTGTAGAATGCAAAAATAAATTTATGAATTAGAAATTGTTAACCTGTAATGTTTATCAATTGGTGCTTTATGACAGTCAATTTTGCAGTTGATTTACTCGTCTCGATCTCATAGGCAAATAGCCATGTTTTGACTTGAATTCTGAGGGTGAATTCTGTACCCTCGGTTTGATATCACATTCTAATCTTTATATGCCTATGTAGTTAATTGTAGATGGTATGTCTCTGACCTATTAACCTGGTAATATTGATATATTCTTATTGCTGACTTCTTTTAGTATTGGTAGAGCTTGCTACACATTTTTCTTCATTTAATAAGATGGGAGCTGCTCTTTGATTGTTTTCTTTTTGCTGTCTGTTTCTTTTATTAAATGGTAACTTTTTCAGTCATTAGAAGCAAACTTTTTGTCTTTTAACAGTGTAATAATTATTTTCAAAAGAGTAAAAGATATGTACGTTTTTGTCGTATTTTGTTACAGATTACAGAGAAGGGTGCATATACTCCCACAACACAGAATCGGCATGACAACTTCAGTCATAATGCTACGCCTGTATCAGTGTGAGTAATATTTTGTCATTTATTCTTTTAAAATTTGTAAACTCATTTTTGTAATTCGTCTACAAATCTAACGAATCTACTCAAATGGTTTTTTTTTTTCTTCAATATCTTAATGAAAATTCATATATAAAATATACTCAGTGACATTAGAAGTGTTACATCCAGAAGGAATAATTTCTTGAACTTAATTTTTTGGCAACAGGATAACTATATTTAAAACATGCTATGATAACAATACCAATGTTTTATCTTTTCTATTTCTTGTAAAAAAAGGTTATCGTGAAATTCGTGAATTCGTTCTCTTATCGTGAAATTGGCCGTCGCGTAAATTGTACGGCAATGACGGTTATGCGTGTCTGTCGTGTGTGGACAAACGAAGGTAGAGGAACACAAAGAAGATCAACTGGTCAACCGAGGCGTACCACAGAGCATCAAGATAGGCGCTTTAGATTACTGGCTCTACGAGACCGTTTTGCTACTACGCGTCAAATTGCTGACAAATGGTTTGGAGTAGTAGGTAGACCTGTTAGTATGCGTAGACTATACCGTCACATTCGAGGCTTTAAGGGCCATATTCACATGCGTATTTATCCGAAGGATATGTCCGGCGGACAGATCCGCATGCGTATATCCATGCGTACGCCGTATGTGTCTTGTTCGCCGTCCGTGGTTCAAGACGACGAGCACGGACAGCGAGCCGGACATATACGCATGTGTGTCAATAGTTTAAAGGATTTGTACGCTGGAAAAGGAGTAGGTACTATTAAAATTGTATTAAGTTGCTACGGTAGGTAGTAAATGTGTATTATATGAGGAAGGATATATCTTCCAAATGAGGAAGAGTAAGAGAACTGGGTCATCTACGGACAGTATTTATGAACCCAACTTGTGGTATTTTGACTTAATGACTGTTATTTACACAAGTAGAGGTTCGCCCTGGAACATCTTTAATGGAATCCCAGGAATCGGAAGGGGATAGTCAAAGTGAAATAATGGTAAGTCATATATTTATTATTCTTTATTTTTGATCCGTTTTAACAAAGAAAGACATACAGATAATTTAAAAAAAAAAGATAAATATGATAGAAGACCTTTTCGATTAAATTATTAATTTCCGTGGATCATGTTTTCTTGAAATGATATTCGTCCTTTATTACTATAGTATTGGGTAAATGCTTTTTTGATATTTTTGGCAATATCATTGTAATAGGTCCTTCTGTTTTGTAAACCTTGTAATTGACGAAGTTCTTCACGCCAGTCACCATCTCAAATGCTCTGATTACGATTACTGTCATCGAGAACAGTAGAGCGACTGTGTATGTACGTAGAGCTCTTCCTTCTTAAATTATGTAGAACACAACATTCCATTACTATTTTATAAATTTTTTCGACAATATTAAATGAAATAGTGCTCAGTAATACTCTGAACCGAGAAGCCAATATACCAAACATATTTTCAACCACTCTTCTTACTCGACATAGGCGGTAATTAAAAAATTGTTCATCGTGACTAATACCAGTTAATGAATAGGGTTTCATTATATTTTCTGTGACGCTAAAGGCGTCGTCTCCAGTAAGTTTGATTGGTGATTTGACGAGATTATTACTAGGCGGTATATTTAAAGCATGGTTTTCAAGTTTGTCGTAAAAGTCTCTTGTAGGACACCCCCATCAGAAATTCTACCATTTATTCCAGAGTATACGTATTTAAATTCATAATTAGAATTTACAATGACAAACAAGACGATGCTACAAAAACCTTTATAATTGTAGAAAAAAGAACCACTATCAGGCGGTTTTTTAATCGCAACATGCTTGCCATCCATAGCTCCCAAGCAATGTTCAAAGTCGCATGAAGTTTTAAATCCGTCTGCTATTTTCAACCAATCATTTGTGCTTTATAATATGCTATTATTATGCTTATATAAAATCTTTTTTTTTTCAGGATGGACCATTACAATCAATAAGCGAGCCATCAACTCCCTTAAGTAGTTGCAATTCACTGAGTAGTGAAAAGATGAGCAGGTTCACGAACAAAAATACTAATTTAGCTCAAAAAAAGCAAAGTTTTTACAAGCAGCTAATATTGCTCTTGCAGCTCCACAAACACCAGCATCTACATATGATCCGTTTGGAAAAAGTGTAGCTCTGGATCTCGAATCCATGTACATATGACAACCAACTTTTGCACAGAAAATCATTTCCGATTTTTTGTTTTATGGAAAATTAGGAAGGCTTACGGACAACTGTGCTTTTCACTTAAAAACATATATATTGCCAGTGCCCGCTTATACAAACCCTATGATTTTGATATTCTGCAAAATCTATTTGTCTGCTATTCAAGACACCTATAATTACAGGCAAAATTAAATAAATTATTATGGCAATCAATTTGCACCACACTTATTAGGGGCTAATCAGCCACAACGTATTCCTCTCTCTCACTCTCAAGGTACATCATCAACAAGTAATACAATAATGTAAGATACTACGGTTAACCTTTCTGGCTTTTAAGCCTTTTAATTTACTAAATAATAGCTAATATCTGTACTTAAGAGAATAAAGCACTTATAAACCTTCAAGTATTCGTCTTTTTTGTCATACATATTTCCCAACAAGTTTCAGGTATTATTTGTCCAAGAAGCTGTGGGGAGATTGCACAACTGAACTTTAAATCTTCACCACTTCGATCAGTTGCTAAGTATCGTAGCGTGGCGATTCATCGCTCTCTGCTACTTACCGATTATCTCATGTGTGTGTTGTTTCTTTCGATTCTAGGGCCAACATACCCTAACAATGTTTCAAATGCTTCATTATCCATTCGCAGAAAATTGTGTAAATCTGTTGTATCTCTTCGGTTCTCTTGTATCGAGTTCTCCAATTAAATTCATGTTTGAGTACTTTCTTCGTTCTAATAACCATTGTATTGACCACAGTCTTTTCTTTTTTCTATCATCAAATAAAACTATATATCCTCCAATGATTGCTAGTTTCCTTTTATTATTCATAGCACAGTGAAAAACAGATAATCACACAACGCGGAAACCAGTAGAACTGAGAAAATTGTCCGTGAATGTCTAGCGCCAATTAATTTGTCTGTAGACACATCTGCCTGTATATAGCTAATAACGGATCTGTCCGCCAGACATATCCTCCGGACAGATACGCATGTGAATAGGGCCCTTTAGACTGGTTTCATTCCGCCCACGACTAGTGCTTCCTTTGACTGCGGACCACTGTCATCAACGTTTGAATTGGTGCAGAGAATGGCAGCATTGGGTGGCAGAATGGCGTAATGTAACATTCAGCGATGAAACACGATTCTGTTTAGGAATGCATGATGGTAAGACACCACCGTGGAGAGCGACGAGATATCGGGTTTGCTGTTGAGAGGCTTGTACACAGGACAGTTGGAGTATGGTAGCCGATCACCGATCTATAATGAATTTCTATAATAAATAAATAATGAATTATATAAACAAAATTTTGGTCTAGCATTGGGCTAGTTTATTTCCATTATTAGCCGATATATTTATGGAAGATTTTGAAACAAATATCATTTCTAAACAAAATTTAAAACCCACAGTATGGTGGAGATATGTAAATGATGAATTCTCAATATGGCCTCATGGATCAGACACATTCCTAAATGATATAAACGATAAAGAAGAGACAATATATTTACCATGGAAAAGGAATATAATAACACACTACTTTTCCTGGATGTTTTAATCTCATAAAAACGATACTGGATATGAGACTCAGGTGTATAGAAAACCAACACACACCAACAGATATTTAAATTTCAAATCAAATCACAATAATAATATTAAAAAGGGAATAATTAAATCCTTACGCGATAGAGACAAAATTACTTGTTCTAACGACAATTCGTTCTTGGAGGAGAAACATTTGTTAACATCTGTTTTATTAAAAAATGATTATCCTTTATCGTTTATAAATAAGGAATTTTTACGACACCAATTGTGTCGCAAATTCCTCGGCAGAATGCAGTAGGATCTGGTTACCCATATTGAAAGAGGAAGTTATTAAAAAGAAAATACCAGTATTAGTAAGTCAGTAACATATGGAGGATACATCATTTAGGTTTTCTAAATAACAAACATATAAAATCAGAATTTGGTGTTTATTGAAAGTAAACTAAATGCACGACCAAATACTTACCATGCCTGGATAGTTATATAAGATTTTTTTCCTGATTTTTCCCTCATAATTTACTATGGAATTGCTAACAGGAGAATTTTACTGTCATCATGGCATGTGTTTGTCTTTTTAAAGACGAATTACATGCTATGATTTTTTCTTGCGGATATTCTCAAGTTAAAGTTGATTTCATGTAATCGAATGAACTATCTTATAAATAAAATCGTCCCAGGAGCGCAACTCAACAATATTGGCAATATCATTTTAAAGTCGTCTACTTTAAAATATATAATGTATGTCTGAATTGTCAATATAAATGAGTCAGATAAAATTAAATTGGTAGAAGAATTTTTCAATAAGTAACAAAAAAACAAAATTTGTTTAATTTACTAATGTTCGTATTTTGAGAACGATTTCCGAAGCGGAAATTGAAACGTCAATAAACGTATTTTAATTGTGGCTCATTCCCATTTAAATGGCAATTACTTTAAAATGCCACAAGAAAATAGCTTCAGAACAATAATAATTCATCATATTCTAAACAACTGATTTACACTTAAAGTGGATTTTTAATTTATTTAATGTTATACTCTCATTTATTGACAGATATACTTATAATTTTTTACTTTTTATTTAATGACTTTATTTGTTAGCTATTTTTCATGTAGTTTTTAATTTAAACCTGCTTGGAGTAAATATATGATGACTAGAAACGAATTGATCGAGATTAGTAAATCGATGTGAAGACCTGCTATTCAATGACACTACTTGTGATGACTATTTTGTGACGCTAGTTCCGTGACGCCCGCCTCAGCATTTCACTATAGAGAAAAAAAATTCAACGCCAGTATAGAAGCTTCGCTTCACAAATAGTATGCACTCTTCATCTTTAAAACGCATGTTTATGTTTTTTTTTTTTAAATTTGGAATGAATATTGAGGGAGTACCAGAGAGAAACGTTTCATACCTGACATATGAAACTTTCAATTTGAATTCACTGATGTCGATATTTCCAGTTGTATGGAGTTCGCCTAACCGATGGAGATTTTTTGCGATATAGTTTTTGTATAGGTTCCAATCAGCTTGTTCATAATTCCTTAATTGTTTCGGGGGTTAGAGTTTTAGGAGATAGTATGTTTGAATTGACCAGAATTTTGTTTACGTGATCGCATCACATGTTTATATTATCTGTGTTTAGGCTGTCAGGTCTTATGTTGGACTTGCTCTTTTACTCTTTTCTAATTCTAAATTATTTGCTGTTTAACTAACGAAAGAGTTTTTTCATAGAAAATCCTCAGAAAAATTCTCCCAGCGAAAAGATTCCAGATCTGTACAGACTTACTTTGGATCTACGACAGCCTCGTTCAAAAGAGAATCCAATGTGATTCTTTCGACTACAGAAGTTGAAGACCACAAAATTCCTGATGGAGTAAAATATATGTATGAAATAATAGGAAACAAGGCGAGGAGTATGAATAATGCGATACGAAATTTGGGGCACGCTATTTTGGACAATCATGGTTTGAATTTGTCACAGGGTCTACTGATTAATCAGATGGTAAGTATACTGTTTTTTATATGTTATTATTTAAAATTCTCGACAGACAAATCTAACGTCAGCAAATGCGAAGAGTTCCTTCTGTCTAAAACTGTATTATCTAAAAATCATACAACACAGAATTTGCAAAAACTTCGACACCGTTGTAACCATGCAACAATTTGGTTTTCGGTTCAGCTTTAGGACCAGAGAAGTGTTGTTTAGTCTATCGGTTCTCATACAAAAGTACATAGATCAGAGGACGGAAGTATACATTAGCTTATAGATTACGCAAAAATATTCATGAGTTCATGGAAATTTAGGTGTAAAATGGACATGTCCTGACGTCCAATTTGTTCAATGACTATGCATCTTTTAAAAAGCACTTATAATAATAATAATAAGTTTATTATTATACACACACAGTTAGGAACGGAGTGTTGGTCTTACGGCGCTTATGGATGTCGCTCATATCGGCACAGTGGTAGGTGTGTGGTAGTTTGGCGATAGACAGAAATCAGGACCATGCGCGCTTCGTTTCAAAAATCTTACTTATTATTTTACTGAGTTGAGACTAAACAAAAAAACATTAATTCTATAAAAAATGCAAAATATCCAATACCTCGTAAATACTTATAGACATATATACAAAAAAATGCAAGTAGTTTACCCTATACGACACAATAAATATATATACATAAAATATACAAGATCATAACTGAAAAGTACTGTAGGTAAAAGAATAAATTAGCATTAAATCTGAGATATTTCTCGTTAATTAATACTAATTGTAATCCATATCTAAATCGTTCTCATCCTCTGAATCATCTCCTATAATACTTATCACCGTTTCAATATCTTCCTGCAAATTGTACATTGCATTATTCTACTTTCTTGACGCGGTTCACATAATTATGCCACTGCACTTTAGAAACGCGTTCGTAAGCTTCTTTTTCAACCGTTCTACCGTTTTTTCTTTAAAATCGACGTTGTTTGAAGCCGCATACCTTTTTAATTGAATCCACACCATCTCAATCGGGTTCAGCCCGCAATGGTAAGGCAGTGGTCTCAAAATCTTAACGCCATATTTTTCCGCAATTGTTTCAATTTTGTACTTGTCGTACTTGTCTCTAAATTCAGCCGCAGTATCCAGCAATTCACTTTTTAGGTAATCTTCTTTGAAGAAAATGTTCTTTTCGATTAGCTAATCTTTGATTTGCCTTTTGTACCACAATTTTTTCGTGAAATGAAATTTGAGGGAGTGGTATGACGCGTTATCCAAAATGACAACGTTTTCTTTGTCTTTAGACAAGTTTGTAATTAACGTCTTTTCAAATCATTCTTCATATAGATACCCATCCATTTCGTCGGGGTAATCAGCGGTTCCCTTTTTCTACAAGGAAGTTAATTCGGCCCATGCCACAAAACCAGTTTTGTTTCCAGCATGAAGCACAAATCGAGGCCTTTTGGGTTGGAGCTTTCAGTCCAGTGGAGAGCCCTTTTATGAAGGCATTTCGTGGATTCTTGATCGTTGTGTCTCTCCATTGCTTTTTGACTGAAGCACCGACGTTAGTCCAATACTCATCCCTATAAACAAGGTTTACACTATCCTTCTTCCTCAATTTTTTATTTGTCTGAGAGACTTGTGTCTCCAGGATATGACATATTTTCTTTCCATCATTATCGAATATCGATCTCTTTTACTATATTCAAAACCCATGTCATTTAGTAGCCTACGAAATGTGGTTTTTGAAAAAGCTGACAAGTCCTTATCATCCTTCACTCCGTTCATTATGCTGTCGACGGTTGGTGGTATGTTTCCCAAAAAAAATCATGGACAATTTTCCCTATTCGAGATTTCACTTCCTCATCGTAAGTATTCTCACGTGAATTGGACTGGAAACTGTTTTTCTTCCTTTTTTGTACCGGTTTCAGTTCGCCTTGCTGGGCCTCTTTGGCATGTCATAAATTTTACGAACACCGCATATTTTTAAAACTTTTTCCACGGTAATGGTCAAGATGTCACCATTTTTTAAGTTCAGATGATAGTTCAATACATTTAACACAACACGTTTTACTTGCACACTAAGAGTCATATCCTATTTGAAATTCACGGCAACAGCTCCATAAGTAGCTACTTTCATCCGCTTGCGAAAATGAAATAGAACTGAGGTTTCATAGTTTTGGCCAACAAGTTTTTGGTCTAATGGCCCGTACCTATATTGCCAAAGAGACATGTTTGCTTTGCTTGGACAATGGGGATTAAAACTGATTCGTTTCTCCTAATGACTTTATAATGATATTTATTTCCCAAAGAATGTGTTTGGTAAATATAGATAAGCTACCGACAATGAGTTTTTGATATATTTTACTTTTTATAGTATCTTTCTTCATGTTATTGTTTAGTTCGACAATGTAAATCTTATTTATACATCGATTATTGAATTATGCCATAGTTGAAACAATAACGATAGTCTTTTATACAACCGAGACAATTTACACACAATTGCCTGTTTGTTTGGATTGTTGTTTCTAGTTTCTGTTTGGTTTTTGGTTTGACAGTGGGTTTTATAACATTACTTTTAGAAGCCGTGTTAAATTGTGATATTATTATAACTAGTGCATAAGCCCATAAGCGACTTAAAAAATGTCAGATAGTGACGAAAATGTTGGATCTCCTCCCAGTAAAAAAAAGAAAATTTACCAACAAAAATACAAACTAGACTGGGAAAAGGATTGGACTTGGGTCATGTCGAGTAAAAAAGGCCCTCTCCATGCTTGGTATCTCTATATTTATTCAGTGATTATCTATTTTCTAGACATAATATTTGAAAACATTATTTTGTCTGTAGCTTTTCATGGCTATTGTTAATTGAAGTAAAACTAAAGTTTTTGGTTTTATACGATGTATTGTACATTTTAACATAACAAATGTTATAGCTTTGCAATATTTTCAGATGATTTACCTATATTTGACTTATCCAGGTTCAAAAGTTAAAGACCTTATAATTATGCTGACATAATTATTAACAACCATAATTCAAATTTTATTTAATAAATAATAAATAAAGAACCAAATGATTGGAATAAAAAAGTGCTCACATCACAACTATCATTAAGTTTTATAGGGTATAGGTAATATCTATGCCATAAGTGGTCATAATATTTAGATAAAAGCTTAGTCATCTGGTTGAAATGGATATGACAACCATGATCTTTTCTGCTAATGGATTAAGTTCATTGATGTTTATGTTATGTTATGGTTTGTTATGATTAGGAATGAAAGTAGAATTACAAATTTCTAGGAATTGTTCTTTCTTTGCAAAGTTATTTTTAAAAAATAAAGGGACGTAACAAATGAATTTTAATACGCAAGTATTAAAAAATACTAAAGAAAATAATTTTTTTCTTTTTTAATTTTGATAAATATCGAACGTTGTCATTATCACTGTTGTTGTTACTCTCTTCTAAGCTTCTTCTTTTTGATGTGCCTATCTGTGTCTGTGACGAATGTTGGCGATCATCATGGCAATCTTCACTTTATCTGCAGCACCGCGGAAAAGCTGCACAGGTGTTGTGTTGAACCAGGTTCTGAGGTTCTCTCACCAGGATGTTCTTCTTCCGGATCTCGCTTTCCAAATATTTTTCCTTGTAGGATCGCTTGTAGAAGGGCATATCTGAATTCATTTCGCGTAATATGTCCAAAGTATTTCAACTTTCGAGATTTAATGATGGTTAGTACCTTTTCTTCTTTATGGTGTCGAAGCTTGGACTATTAATGTTGACTTAATGAGAAAGCTGGAAGCTTTTGAAATGTGGCTTTTTAGGAGAATGTTGAACATTCCCTGGACCGATCATATTACGAACGAATTGGTATTGCACAGAATGGGAAGAGACAGAGAACTTTTGACCACCATTAAAAAGAGGAAAACAGCATATTTGGGGCACATACTTCGAAATGATAAGTACGAGTTACTACAGCTGATTATACAGGGAAAAATCGAAGGAAAAAGAGGTCCTGGTAGACGACAAATATCCTGACTGAAAAACATTCGCGACTGGACCGGGTTAAATACACATACGCTTTTCAGAAAAGCAGAAGATAGAGACGAATTTGCAATGGTTATAGCCAACCTTCATTAGTGGAGTCGGCACTAGAAGAAGAAGAAGTACCTCTCGATTCTTCCCCATTCTTTTAAGGACCTCCTTAATTATGATCCTATCAGTCTATGGGATTTTAAGAATTCTCCGATATAGCCACATGTCAAATGCTTCCAATTTTCAGTACATATCTTCGTTCAAGGTCCATGATTCAACACCATAAGCTTATATTCCTTAATTTTTTTTTGTTACATCTAAACTTTTTTATAAAAAAACTTATTTGATCGGCGAGCACGCCACTAGTCGGCAGTTAAAATGGACAATACATGGTATAAATCCGAAACTATTGTTTTACTTCAATACTTGAAAACATTTTAGGTGTAAAATCTGCAGTTGTGATATTTTCATATCTAGAGGAAAGGGCGAACTAAAGAAGCATGAAAACACTGCAAAACATATAAAATCAAAATCGGCTGTAAAAGTACAACCATCTGTAGAAAGCTTTTTTAAAAATCAATCAAAAAATGTAGATTATAAGGCCAAGGAAGGAATTTTGCGCTTAGCAGCATTTTTAACAGAACACAACATGCCAATAAATGTGATTGGACATTTAGCACCATTGTTCAAAACTATTTGTTCGGATTCAGATATTGCCAAATCAATGAAATGTGGCCGTTCACAAATGAGCAGTATTATTAAAAATGTTACTGGAAATGAAGCTCGCTTACAACTCGTACAATTGTTAAGGCTGTTTTCGCAGTTAGAACACACTGCGATTTGAAGTAGGCGTATCACTTACTTTTCTACAATGCTCACGTCAGGACCTACGTGACTTCCTAATTTGAAATGATGTTTACTCAGTGGCGCCGGCCCACGGGTTGTTTATTGACAATAAATGCATTATTCTCCATTCAAATTAGTTTTGTCGGAATACTTTTTTTAGATTGATTATCGTAGATGTTTTAAAAAGAAATAATCACATTTTTAATTTATATGTCTTAGCTAAACATAGTATTGAATAAAAATTTGTGAAACGTGACTGCAAAAAACACTATGGTGTTTATTTATAATAAATTTAAAATAACATAAAAATATTATTATCAAAAAAATTACAATTTAATGTCACAAACAAATAAACAATTTCGCAGTTGTAGCTTGAAAATTATTTCAAGAAGTTATTTATTTGTTAGAGAAAACTGATATTAGCGTAGTAAAAATTAAACAAAAAATATTTTTATTTTTCTATAAAAAATTGGTACCTGCGAAACCATCATAATAGTAAATGTATTTATCTGACAAGTATTTCGAGGCGACGCACTGTGAGGAAAAAGTTCTCTGAATGGAATATACATTATTTTAATATATTTATAGATTGCAGTTACATAAGAAAAGTATCCAATTTATGAATAAAACACAAATCGTAGATAGTTATTTCATCATCATCAGTGGCATTACAGCTCGTCATGAGCCAAAGCCTTCTTCAGAACAATCTTCCATTCGCCCCTGTCTTTGGCACCTCTTCCCCAAGCTCTAACTCCGATGGATTTTAGATCATCCTCTATGATATCTTGATACCTAAGTTTTGGTCTTCCTCTGGATCATCTTCCCACTGGTCCTCTTCGGTCGAAAATTTTTCTGATCGTTTCATCTTCATCTCGCCTAATTACATGTCCTATCCATTAAAGGCGTACTAATTTAATAAATTTTACAACGTCAGGTACTACACCTGAAGAAGTATCGTAGTTTACTTTATACGATCTTTTTGACCAAGCACCATCAGCTATAACGGTTATTAACCCATTTCCGTCGGAATCTACTTCACCAATTTCGTTGGCTAAAGCTAATTCCTCCCGTCCAGCCTCTTCTATGGAATCACAAAGTGTTTGGCCGATGATATCTGCAACTGTCTCCGTATGTTTTGCATACTGCCTGTAGGACATCACAGGTATATTTAATGCAGCGTGCTGCTGCTGTATGTCTGAATAACCAGAACCATTCAAGTTCAGTGAATTGTTACCAGAATCCTATGTTGCTATCTCCTTTTCAATATTGAACATTTGACATTTAAAAGTCAATGTACTTATCAATCCGTCCATTTTTTCTTTGATAATCTCCATATTAGAAAAGTTGCATGAAAATGGAGAATGATTATTCAAACCTTGAATAGATTTAATGAAAAAGTTTATGTCCACTATTTTTCTGCCTTCTACCGAAAAAGATGGTTTTTGCGGAGAGGAAATCTCAACTGACTGAGAATGACAGCTATTAGTAGAAATAACAATAAAATTTAAAGTATTTTCTGCAAATGATATTATTTGTTATTATTATTATTTAAGAGTAGAACATTGGTAACATTTTGACCATAAACAAATAATATGTTATTTAATTAATAATAAAATTATATTTATATATAAATATATATATATATATATATATATATATATAAATAAATAAATATATATAAGTTAAATAAAAGCTTTTAAAAACGGTTGTAATATAAATAATAAATACTAAAGCAGTGCAATTGCTCTCCTTTTCCTTGACATAGGACGTTTATTACTGGGACTCATTTTTTATCTTGTCTCTTATAACTTATATCACTAACCTAATGTAATACTTAAAAATACGAGTAAACTAAAGAACTTTTAACTTATACCACTAAACTAATAATATATTACTTAACTTACACGTAAACTAAATAATTTCAATATTTTCAAAATAAATAAGAATACTGTAAACTGTAAAAACTAAGCAAGTTGATAAAGAAAATACAAGAATGAAAGAACTAAAATGGATTCTAATTCAAGCGAACTAACTGACCGTACCCATAGAGAAATAAAAATAAGACCGTACCGTACGTTCATGGGATTTGACGTCACTAATGCGATAACGATCAAGCTCAGCGACAATGATGAGGAACACGTTTCACTATTAGATTTCAGTATTTTTTAGCAATTTTCTTCAAAGTTTGAATACGCTTTTCTCGATTATTACTGGACACAGAAAGGTGAAAAAAGAATCAACGATTACAGAAAAAAAACTCTTTCAACTGATGGGCGTGAAAAGTTTGGTTATAATAGAACGTTAAACAGTATAATCCAATTTTTCAACAGAAAATTCAAAAAAATAAAAAAAGTAAAACCATCAGTTTAAAGGCAACATCATTTCATATAACATGTCCAAATTTCGAGACATTTCGTCGGTAAATAACAGAGAAAAATTTTGGTGCACTGATAAAACAGCCTTGAGAAAATAAATTTAGTTTAATGGCAGACGAATCTACAGACAGAAGTTGTTCCAAGCATTTATGTCTTGTTGCTAGGGTGATCGTTAATCACAATATTGAGGATTGCTTTTTAGCTCTTTTGCCAGTTCAAGACGCAACAGCAGCTGCCTTGTTCAATTTAATTAAGACATTTTTCGAGAAAAATAGCATCCCATATGAAAAAAATTTAATTGGGTTTGCAGCTGACGGAGCTAATAACATGATGGGTGCTCATAACTCATTAGCCAGTAGGCTAAAAGAAAAATGTCCCAATCTGTTTGTACTAAAATGTGTCTGTCATAGCTTCCATCTCTGCGCTTCTTATGCCTGTGAGAAGTTACCCCCTGAAGCAGAACAGTTAGCGAGAGAAGTATGTCCAGTTTTTTCTAAATTTGCGTATTCTGTATTATATTTTTCTTATTTTAGGTGTATAATTTCTTCTCAAACAGTCCAAAAAGGTTAAACCAATACAAGGAATTTCAAGAGTTCGCTAATGTGTCACCTCATAAAATTTTACATCCCTCCCAAACCAGATGGCTTTCGTTAGAATCTGTAGTTAAAAGGCTTTTATCTCAGTATGCAGCGTTAATACTCTACTTCACAGAACAAAGTTATGAAGGTGTTATTGGGGCTGATATTATTTTACAAAAACTTCAAAAACCTGATATTAAATTGTACTTGGAATTTTTAGCGTATATGCTACCTTTTTTCAATAGGCTCAATAGATTAATGCAACGTGAAAAGCCCCAAGTCCATAAAATATATATCGAAATAACTTCAACTTTAAAAACTATATTACAATGTTATATCAAACCTAATGTATTACACAAAGATTTATATGAAATTGATTATGCTAACCCTCGAAACTTTTTAGATATTGAAGATATGTATTTCGGAGCATCAATAAGTACAAGCCAAGTAGATAAAGATATTTTGAAAATGGTAAAAATTAAGTGTATAAACTCTTATATCGAAAGTGTTAAACAAATAACAATTAGATTTCCTTTAAAAAATTCCACAATTGAAAAAATGCAATTTTTTGACCCCGAAATTATAAAACAAAAAAAAAACCATTCATTTCTGATGTGGCAATGAGTTTTCCTAACCTGATTAGTCCAGAAAATTATCAAGATTTAGATAATGAGTGGAGAATGTTATTAAATTTTCCACTTGATGATATCGATAATGATAATGATATTATAGGATTTTGGAAAAGAATTGCACTTGTAAAAATAGGGGATGTTTCTTTAAAATTTCCCACTTTGGTAAACTTTGTTTTTAATATCTTATGTTTACCCCATTCAAGTGCTGCCGTAGAGAGAATCTTCTCTCAAATAAATCTAACAAAAACACAATTTCGGAACAGAATTAAAATTGATACCATGGAGGGAATTTTACATACGAAACGTTTAATTGGAAATAATGGTTTAATGCTTGATTATTGCATAATAATATGCTTAATGCTAATTGCTTAATAATATGCAATATCCAACGACCAGTCGTACAGCACTGATTGAAAATGAAACATGCAGAGACTTGTTTTGCCCATACACTCTCGTTCTTCCCCGCGCGATGATAATTGCACACGCTAAAAATCAAGACGATCCTGATTTTGAGAGGCTTGATTGCGCATTCCACATTTTTCGCCATACACACACACTTTTAACTGTACCCCGTGCCATGCACATTCAATCCTTCGCGCTTCCTTCTGAGTGAGTGGGCGCCTTAACTGTCGCTTCTACTATAGTGTCGATGCACACACTAGCCCAGGAGGGCCGACGGCTTAACGTGCCCTCCGAAAAACGGTGAACGGCTGGTATCATTTTAGAAATGAAAATGTCATTGTTGATTCTGAGATCGAACTCGTGCACTTTGGCTTATGAAGCCAGTATCTTGACGCTACGGCCATCAAAAAAGCACTAGAAAATGCAAAAAAGATATAAGAACAAATAGTAGACCTCTATGTAATACAAGATACGCTGACGATACACCAATGTTCCTGCACTGCACTAAGTCAAAGAAGAACAATGTCTTTTGATTTATTTGACATCCTCCTTAATATTGATGAACGTTGCAGATAGTATTCTTTTTTTTTTTCTTGCTGTGCCTATATCTTAACATAGGATTTCCCAGATTAAATGATACAAGTATTGCGCCATTGCTCTTTTGGAGAGATTGGCAAGTCATCAGAAGATCGAGATTATCCTTTGACGGTGAAATGTGTAGAGTTACAGAAGATCATAAATGAGCACTCTGGAAAAGCACTTTTTCAGTTTCTGCATCGACTTTGGCAATGACCCATTAAGTATATAAAACGTTAATAAAAATAAGTCATTCCAAATCGTATAATTAATTTATTTTACAGGGAGAAATGGTCACCTATGGTAGAATAGTATCTGATTCGGATGGAAGGATCAATTCCCAATCCATACTCCTAGAAGGCACCGACGAAACGAACTTATGCTACACTACTCGCTTAAATCTCAGCAAACTCTCGAGTTATTCCTTATTTCCCGGCCAAGTAATAGCAGCAAAAGGAAACAACGTAAAGAATCTAGCGTTTGTTGCCGAAAAAATTTATACAGACGCCCATTTGGACTTGCCCGAACCACCACTAGTTCAAAACGGTAAGTATTTCTCTATGAAATGTTTCAAGATCCTGCAATTTGATTAGATTAATATAAAAAATTGTTCATGTATAAATTTTGCTAAAGACTGACATATAATTACTCCAGCAATATAATTTTTTCTCGTAAATGCAAAAAAAAAACAATTTTTATTTTGTAACTTCAAAGGGCTGTAACTTTTTTTTGTGTACACTTTTGTACTAAGGTAAGTTGGTTTCAATCAATTTATTTTTGTCCCTGGAATGCGTGTTTTCATTTATGACATACCTTTTTGAAACACCCTGTATTATACCAAATTAAAAATAATTAATAAAGGAACTAAACTAAAATTATAACTAAGAAGACTATAAAACACTAAACTAAGAATAAAATAAACTAAATAAATAAAAAAGAAAAATACAACACAATAGCACAGATTAGACAATAGGCTTAATATCAATGCAACAAACAAAAAATAAATAAAGGATGTTGTCCCTTGGTAAAAGTTTGTGAACGTGGACATAAGAATAAGGTGCAATTTTTAAATATGTTAGTGTTACCGGTACTATTCCCGAAAATCATATGATTTTATCACGCTGAGTAGGGACTTTCCTATTCTCCTGTGACATGCTATGACCAGCCGCATGACAGTGCTTATGATAAATCATTTGATAAAATCATTTGATAAAATCACAGAGTGTAAACATCTAAATTTCATTCCATGACCAAATCATGACAAATCACATGATAAATCATGTAGTGTAAAGTCGACTTTACAGTACTTAGACAGTATAATAAAGTACTCCAACGGTAGCCTAATTTAATATTTTTTCAATGTGTCATAAATGTCGATTGCTGAATATTATCGGTATGACACCTCTTCGATTGCTTTGAACGTAAATAAACAAATTTTTAAGATTCCACTAAACATGTAAATTGCTAAATGATCACTAATTGTCCAATATATTTACGAACATTAACTATAAAAAAAATAATTACTATAATTTTCAATAATATTTAAAAATCTATTAATATTTCGTCTTAGTGTTGTAACTTTCATTTCTATTTCAATGACCTGTTGTGTTATAGGAAAGAATATAACTACAAATAAGGTAAAAAAAAGTTTTAGAGTCTTATATTCAAATGGATTTATTACTACAACGATTATTAGTAATTTCATGATAATTAGATCTAAATAGACATTTGTCTACTCGTTATTTAATTATATACTGTATTACTGGTAATTATAATTATTCTACCGAGAAAATGAACTAAATATTTTTCGACGTTTCGGAAAGTAAATGAAATTTTTTAGCAGATGTTCTTTTTGTTAAAGCCTCCTTGCTAATTTCACAACTTTTGTGCTCACATATCCTTAATCAAGTTGGAGAATTTCAACAAAATGTCTTTTCTAAAAATAGCTTATGGTGATTGTAGTGACTAAGTCCTTAGATATTTGTAAAAATCTCCCCGGAAGGTTGTTTATACCTAAACTCGAAATGCAATAGGATTGTCAGTCATTTTCTAAATCCCAAACACTTGGTGGATAGCGACTGAGTACGGATTTATTTATTACCATATAAATTCGCCACACAATTAATATTTGTGCTGCTATAGACAAAGAGTACAGTAGAGTATTGATGCAGGGTATGCACCAAATGAGTACCAGGCTACTCAGGCAAAATACGAAACTGTGATAGTGTCAGGAATTGCACAAGAAAAAAAGGCAAGGAATCTACGAGTGCGCAGTATGATATCCAGACAGAAAATGGACACACAAATAAAAAAATTTATGAACTGGAAGAAGTAGAACACGAATGTGAAGAATATTATAAGTAAACAGTCAAGAGAGATGACGAAGGAAGATATGAAGTAAAAATACCGTTTAAAGACAACCCAGAGAAACTAGACGAAATACCTGTAGACATAATACGGTTAATAGAAGAACAGCAAATTGGAATATTGGTCGACTTATTCAATACAATATACAGTACAGGAATCATTCCCAGAGATTGGCTGATGTCAACATTCATAACACTACCAAAAAAATCAAATGCAAAAGAATGCCAAGACCACCGGATAATAAGTTTAATGAGTCATACGCTCAAAATATTTTTAAAAATTATACACCGGAGAATACACAACAAACTTGTGCAGGACATAAGTGACACAATTTGGATTTAGAAATGCACTGGGAACGAGGGAAGCCCTGTTCGCTGTGAATGTACTTGTGCAAAGGTGCATGGTGTATGAATAATATACGGTTTGCCGACGATACTATTTTATTAGCGGAATGTCCTGAGGATTTACAACATTCTTGAGGTTGACAGAGTGGTAGAAGTCAGTGAAGAAAACGGACTGTCCCTAAACACAAAAAAGGCACAATTTATGGTAATTACAAAAGCCCAACATCGCCAAGATAACATAACAATACATGGAGAACAAACTAAAAAAGTTGAAAAATATAAATATCTGGGTACAATAATTAATGAAAATAATGAATACACAGAAGAGATTAAGGCAAGAATAGGACAAGCAAGACATCCTTTCAACAAACTGAAAAATACTCTGCAGCAGGGACATTTCAATTTCTTTAATGATAAGACTTCTGAGATGCTACGTGTTCTCCGTATTATTTTATGGATTGGACGCTTGGACTTTAAAGAAATATGTTTCGGACAGATTGGAAGCCTTCGAGTTATGGGCCTACAGAAGGATATTAAGAATGAGTTGGGTAGATAGAGTCACGAATGTCGAGGTGTTGAGAAGAATGGGAAAAGATAAAGAGGTCTTAAATACAGTTAAAGTCAGAAAACTGCAATATCTGGAACATATTATGAGGGGCGAGCGTTATAACTTGTTGCAATTAATAATGCAAGGAAGAATACAGCGTAGAAGGAGTCGTGGAAGAAGACGCATCTCCTGATTTAATGATTTGAGAGCTTGGTTTAACTGCACTTCTGCTGACCTTTTTAGAGCAGCGGCGTCGAAAGTGCGAATTGTCATGATGGTTGCTAACCTTCTTAGAGGAGATGGTACGTGAAGAAGAAGAAGAGAAACTAGCAGAAACGAGACAACAGTCATTTGCAAGACTAATGCAATTGGAGAAAACATTTACCAAAGATAACAAACTAGAAATGGACTATAGACAGTCCATTGAAAACTATGAAAAACAGGGTACATGGAGATAATAAAAAACTGTGAAGGAGGTTACTATCTACCGCATCACCCGGTAAAAAAGGAGGATAGTACAACGACAACGAGCTGTATTTGACGCATCGAGTAAAAGCTCAAGAGTTCACCACATGAACAAAATGTATAAAGGTAGAAGAAAAGATATGACATATGGACACAAATATAATTTTGATAGAAGAAAAGAACATAATTAGGAACAATAATTACCGAAATACAAATGAATATGAAAGACGTAATACGAGAATTTATCATAATAGAAGTAGATTTCAAATGAACAGAGGAGCAATGCAAGCTCAACTAGGAAGAAATAATAATCAATGTACACAGGTGGAATACCTGAACGTATTGTAGTTAAGGTAGGGCCAATATGTGGTCTTTGAGATGTTGTGAGTTTTATTAAACAAACAATACTTAGCACACTTAAGCCAATTAGACGATTGAGCCTTCGGTTACCTTCAACTAACTAACCTTATAGAAGAAATAAATATACAGTCCACTTGCTATCGAAGAAGCAAAAGATCTGGGGGGAAGCTATTCCTGATCAGGAATAAGTAACTTGCCTGATCTTATACATGGTTACAAATTTACTACTTCAACCAGTTTTAAAACATCTTCGGGTAAAGGAAAACGTCTCATTATTAGTGGCATTCCTCTATATGAAAAAAATGTAAGGAAATTAAAAAATAGAAAATCACCAGCAAAGGACAGAATACCGATCGAACTCCTAAGTACGGAGGAGGACCAGATCTGACCAAACAACTATTAATTAAAGAAATAAAAGAACAAAACAGAATTCCTCAAGAATAGAGATCATGCATCCTAATATCTGTCTTCAAAAAGGGAGACAAAATTAAAACATGGCTGATTCCGTCTGCGCGAACGAGATGCGCGTACTTATTTTTTCAAGCAGAGTGGACATTCTGATTGTTTATTATTTTGTGGTAAAACACTATGGAACAAAGCTAAAATTACAGATATACGACGTAGATGCAAGGTGGAGAACATCAAAAACTGGGTAACAAATAGAAGAGTAGAATGGAACGATCATAAAAGCCGAATGATATCAAATAGAATAATAAGACGGCAAGAGACAGTTCTCCAATAGGAAGACCACGTAAACGAACAACGTACTGGAAGCACATTGAAAACAAACAGTCATGTCTATATAAGAAGAAGAAGAAGAAGAGGAAAAAATACCAACTTCTGCATTTCGAAAAACAGACATTACCGAGGTATTTATTTTTTTTTACTACATTTGTGCAATACTCTGAAAAATCCTTCATCCTACGTGAAAAGAATACTGCAAGTGCGTAATTTTATTATTTGTTTTTAAATCAGTAGGTATCTATTTTTGAATACGAATTTCTTTTTATCAATTTCAATTTATTAAGCAGATTATTCCAATATATTAGTTAGAAAAAGTATATGAAATTGTGTATAGTACTCTTCTTCTTGTACAAATACTACAGAATGAAAGAGAAATGAAAGAAGAAAGAATGAATGAAAATACTAGAGAATAGTTAGAAACAAAAAGTCGTGGCTGCAAAATATTCGGAACTGGACAAACATGAATTTACGAGAATAATTATTTCACGCTGCTAAGGACAGAGAAACTTTATGAAATATTGCCTGTAATCTCCATTTAATGGGAATGGCATATGAAGAAAGAGATTCTTCCTCTTGATCATTGAAAGTTGTAGAAAAACGCCAGCTAATAAAAACTGGCAACTTAATTACTTTAATATTGCAAATATTGATTACAATTAAAGATTCTAAAATAACTAAAAAAATATATTGCATAATTTTTCTGACAGATGAATCCTTAC